GTACAGTATACAGAGTACAGAGTAGCCTATAGAATACAGTAGATAAAAATAAAATTAAACGAAAATAATACCTAACCAACCCAAAAACTATTCAAGATTTATGCAGATATCGGAAATCTGTCAAGATTCTGCTAATTAATTAATAACAAATCAATTGCTCTGTTAGAATCAGTTACATATCTTGAACAAGTTTTTATAAATATATATATATATATATAATCTGCACTGTAAGAATGTTGTCTACCACCTGCAAGTGGTAGACCCGGTCCGATTTTTATTTCTCAAGATGTCTTAAGGTGTTCGCTCTTGAACAGCGGAAACTGCATCTCTTCACATACTTTTTATCAAAAGTTATTCGTAAATAGTCAGGGGCATTCTTTTTCGAAACATATAGTAGTTTGAAGTACACAAGTTGTACTATATACCGATGTATTTGCCAGAAAAAGACCGTTTTCGTAAATTACAAAAGTAGACGTATTATTTTTGAAATTTTGTTCGAAATCTGGTCAACAATGTATTCATACTGTAATACGATAACTAAATTGACCATATCACCCATAATAACTCTGTGGACAAAAATAGTTTGGTTGTTGATGAATTTAGCTGTAAATAGCTACACCATGATTGCTTTGATATGACTAATGTTTGACTACTTCTAACTCAACTTTTTTCATCAACAATTACATTCCTATCTACGTACTCGTTTAATCACTGAAGAGTACTCAAGACATTTTTGCAAATAGCCGAAATAGTTTTAAGATGCACATAAAGCAGACTTTCAGTCAAATTTTGTTTGATGTCATTCGATATTTGTTTTTGTTCCTCATTTTAATATATTCTCATACCGACATCTGTTGTGTGTTAAACCGCCAATACGAAGTTTTGCAAGTGCTTTTTATGGAAAATCCCCAATCGACTTTTTGATACCTCTATTTTCAGGATGGAAAAAAGAGTACATACGTGCATACATAAAAACTCGGCTTTTATTGAGTCTAACAGCTACGGAAATTCATCAGGAATTAATCAATGCTTATGGACATGATTGTGTGTCATTCAGTACAGTTGCTCAATGGATTCGGCGATTCGCAAGTGGGCGGGAGTCTTTTGAAGATAATCCTCGGAGTGGTCGTCCTGTAACCGCCATTACTCGAGCAAATATTCATGCTGTTGAACAACTGATCAACGATGATCAACATATTCGTATCGATTATATTGCTGCAATGTTGGATATATCTTATGGAAGTGTTGATACGATTCTCAAACATCATCTTCATCTACCGACGATATCATCAAGATAGGTACCCCATAGCCTTACTCAAGCCCAACGACAACAACGTATCGATATCTGCAAGGAAAATTTACGAAAATTCGAAAATGGCACTTGGAGACTTTGCGATATAGCCACAGGTGACGAAACCTGGATTTATCATCGCCGAATCAAATCAAAAGAAGAATCTAAAGCATGGGTAGCAATGGGGGCAAGTCCTCAATATCACGGTTATGGCTCATCCACTTTACTCTCTCGATCTCGCTCCGTGCGTTTTTTGGTTATCTGATTGTTTAAAACGAAATCTTGATACATATTCGGATAGTACAAGTCTAGCTCGAGCCGTAACCAAGGATCTTAATTCAATATCCATTGATGAATACCAAAAGACATTTCAGAAGTGGATTGAACGAATGAAACTTTGCGTCGAACACGACGGGGACTACTTCGAACATTTACTGTAAACAGATTAAAAAAATCTTTTGTGTATGAATAAATATATAAAAGTGCGAGAACTTTTTGATACCCCTATATATTAGCTAAATAACCAGTTCTTTGGCGAAATAGTTTATTATTTCAGTTCTACAAAGACATATCAAACCCGTATAATTCTTGGAACTACTAATATCAACAACCCCCATTTAATCTGTCACGTTTAGTATGTTAATATTAGGAAGGAATGACATTTCTTTCAAAAAGTTTCGACTAGAAACTTATAGCAACTAGGATTGAACAACAGATAACTATTCTTTGGGTTTTCAAATAATGATACGATGGGACGCAATCATATTGCTGACAATCAGTTTGCCGACGCCGTTTTGCTGAAAAATTGTTTTGTCGACAGGTACTCTTTGCCAACAAAAATTTGAAGTCAAAAAAATTGAAATTTATTAAGAGTACGGTATCAAAAAATCTTTTAAAATTCAACTGTGTTACGGTATGATTCATCGTTATATTCTTTTTCTTTCTTCCTATTGATTACGTCATATAGATGACATATGTGATATGCATGTCTCTTCTCTTTCTTTCCTCCTATTCACATATGGTATTTTCCAAGTTCTTTTTTTACTTTGTTTTGGAATATAGCCTTCGCGTTTATGATTATTTTGGGATATCCTTCGGATTTTTCCGATTCGTTCACGTATATTTAGTGAACATTTTTTCTTTTAGATCGTGTTTCACAAAATGCATTTGTCCCGAGAAATTAATTGAGTCATGTAGAATGTGATTCATGTCAAGTGAAGATCTATTTATATAATTAGCAGAAGATTTAATCTCAAGTTCGCAATTACGAGTGGAATGCAGAGAATCCATAATAAAAAAAATCTTTTTTACAGTTGATTTACTTCTAAGAAGTATCAACAAAATCATATTTATTGAAAATTTTCCTCACTGAATAAAATTTATAGATTATTCCAAAGAAAACAAGGTTATCTTTTACATCATGCATTGCAAAGAAAAGGAATATGACTAGAACCATGACCATATTTCGCTAAAAGTATTGCTTTAAGATGATCTTGTGCTTCAGTTAATCCACGTTCTTTTGTT